TAATTACTAATTCAATTTTTATAAAATTTAAAACATATATTTATCTAATTTGCTTGCATAATTTAAAGTTTTAATATTATAAATTAATAGTAATAATATTTATTTTAGTTTTTTTTAATAAAATAATACTTTATTTATTATTAAATTAAAGTATAATAAAATAATTAAAATAATATAAAAATTTAAATTAGATTATTTTTATTTAATATAAAAAAATTATAAAAATTAGTTAAAATTTAAATAATTTCTATTAGAAATAATTATTAATTTTTATATTGATATATCAATCTTTTTATATTAAATTATATAATATTTTAACTTTCTAATTTAAATAAAAAATATTTAAAATAATAATATATTTGTAAACTAAAATATAATTTATCTTGCAAGAATTTATATAGCTTTTCAAGTTATAATATTTATTTTTTTATAAAAAATATATTATATTATAAGTTATTAATAATATTTTTATATTAACTTGAGCTTTTAAGTATTAGAAATTTATATTTTTATATATTAAATAAATAACTTTTGATTTATTAATAAAAAAAATATATTATACTTTTTAAAATATTTTAGATATTTAATTAAATATTTGATATTATAATTTTTAAAAAATATATTTATAAAGAAATTATTATTATATATTTAATTAATTAGCTCTATTATATTTAATTTTTATATTTATTATTAAAATAAGCTTTAAAAGTTTTTTATAAAATAGTTATTAAAGATATAAAGAAATTTTATAAGAGCTTATAAAAAATATTAGTTTAATAAAAATATTATTTAAAAAATTAATAATAATTTATAATAAATATTTTTATTAATAATAATTTAAATATAAATTATTTTTATTTATATTATAAAATATAATAAAATAAAAATTTAAAATTTATAAAATAATATTAATAAAATAATAAAATATTAAAATTTTTAAAATATTTAAATTTTCTTAAAATTATAAAATATATTCAAAATTAGTTTTTAAATATTAATTTTAAAATTAAATTAATCTTATAAAACTTTAATTTTTTTGTTTAAATTTTTATTATATTTAAAAATATTATGAAAAAGTAAATAAAAAATTTGATAATTTAAAAAAAATATTATTTTATATTATTTAATTATAAAATAATATATAAAATTTATTTTAATATTTTAGAAGAATTTAATATAATTAGTTATAATTAAAAAAATCTTTCTATATAGTTAAATAAAAAGTATATATTTAAAAAGGATATATATTTATAGAAATCAAAATATATAAAGCTCTTATAAGCTAAAATTAAAATATATTATACATTTAGAGAAATATTATATAATACATATATTTAGAAAGAATATACTTAGAAAAATGTAATTGTATTTATATTTTTTTATATTTATTTAAATTTTATATTTTCAAATATGATTATAAAGAAATTTAATTATATAATAGATAATAATATAATTAATATTTAAAATTCAAACTTGAAATTATATTTTAAATAAATTAATTTATATTATTAATATTTTCAAATTTTTTTTTAGTATTCATTATAAAAAATATTATATTTTATAATTATATTATTTTTTTAATAAAATAAATTTTTTATAAATTAAAAAATTATTTTATTTTTAATAAGTAAATTAAAAATTAAAAATTTTTATTAAAAGAAATAAAAAAATAATTTAAAATAAAAATACTTATATAATTTTGAAGTTTTTTTAAAAAAGAATATTAATTAAAAAAATAAATTAAAAAAATTAACTTTATAATTTTGAAATAAAATTAATTAAAATTAAAAATATTAGAAAAATATTTTTTTAAGCTTTTAAAATTTTTATAACTATTTAAAGAAATTTAAATTTAATATTTAAGTTTATACTAATAATCTTATTATTATATTTAAAATTTTAATTTTTAAAGAATTATAAATTAAAAATCTTATTTATAATTTTATTATTCTTACTTATAAAATTAAAAATTTTTAAAGTCAATTAAAAGAATTTTTTTTTAAGTATTAATATTCTTAAAAAAGTAAAAATATTTTTTAAGAATATAAAAATATTAGATTTTAAATATTAAATATAATATATATAAAAATATTTAAATAGTTTATAATATAAATACTTATTAAAACTATTTTAAATTTTAGTTATTTTATGATCAAACTAGTTATTACTAATTAACTTCTTTAATTAAAACTTTTTTAAGCTTTTTCTAAACTTAATAATATTAAATTAAGTTTTAATTTTGAAGTTATTTAATAAAAAAATTTTAGATTAATTTTAATTTTTTTTGATTTTATATAATTAAATTTTTATTAATATTTTTAATTTATAACTAAAATTATTAATATTTATATTTTAAAGAGTTTTTATTTCAGAATATATATTAAATATTTATATAATTTTTAATTAAATAAAAATTCTTCTTTTAAATTAATAAGATTTATATTTTTTATAATTTAATTAATTTAATATTAATTAATTTTATTATTATAATTATAAAAATATATCATTATAGATTTCTTATATAAATATCAAATTAATAAATATTTATATTTATTTTATATAACTTGATTAATATAATAATAATAAATAAGTATTATATAATTATATTTATAAATTTTAAATTATAATAAATTTATAATAAATAAATAATATATAATTATAATAACTAATCAGAAATTATAATATTTATTATTAAACTTATTTAAATTAATATCTTTTTTATTATAAATATTTTTATTTTAATTAGAATTATTAAATAAAATTAATATTATTTTTGGCAAGATTTTTAAGAAAATTATAATAAAAAAAGAAACTTAATATATAATTATTATATTATTATAATAATATTTATAAATATTATAAAAATTATTTAATATTAAGAATAATTAAGCTAATCTATTAAAAATTATATATATATTAATTAATTATTATAAAAAAATAAAAGTATTTATATATTTATATTCTTGAATAAAAAAATTTTATTATTATTATATATTTTATATATTAAATCTTCTATCTGCAATAGTTTTATATTTTACTATCAAGTTTATATTAACTAAAATTTCTATTGCTAATAAAGATGCTTCAAATGTATCTAGCAAAAATTCTTCTTTATCTTAATATCATTAATAAATTTATTATTAAGTCTTGCTAGAAAATAGCAAAATAAATTCAATCTTTTATTTTTTTTATTAATTATATAATTTTTAGCTTGTGAATTAGTTTCAATTATTAGTTAATCAAAAAAAATCTTTTAATGATAATTCAGTTTTCTCAAGTAATTATTTAAATTCTTCTGAATTGAGAATAAATCTTTCATTATATACATGTTAGATTATGTATAATACTACTTTATTAATTTAATTTTTTTACTGACAGGAACCAACTATAAAGAATAATAACTATATGGGTAAGTAATCAAGAATATAATAAATAGAAGCTATTTATTTACCTAGTTTTGCTTTGTCAAGCTCAACACATACTTCATAATACACAGATTTCAATTCCTGAAATTCAGATTTAGTAAATAATATCATCACATAATATCTTGAAATTGCTAAAGGATAATTAGGCAAATCGACGTACTCTGAATTATTATTTGTTTTATATAAGCAATGGTCATTCTTGCGACTGCAAAACGTTATATTAATATGTACACGATTTAAGTTCTTATGGTAGAATTTTCCGGGATCGACTTTTTTACTTACCAGTCCGTATCAAATCGATCCGGATTGCACTAAACGGCTTTAGTATTCCTCTAGAGATCGAGATGATCAGGTTTTGCGATTGATATCATTTTTTTGTTCTACGTTAATTCTTTACAAGTGTCATAAATCAATATAACATAACATGAGTCTCGCTTGTCCTATTTATGCACCATTTTTCGGTTTTGCTGGAGTTGCGTCGGCGGTATGCATAACTTTTTACTCTTAAAATATGAGTGCAATTCCATATTCTTGAGCACTAATGAAATTTTTAATATTAAAAATTGGTTATAGATGGTTCTCAGCTGTAAGTATTATCTTTATAGACCACTACTTAGTAAGGATTTTCAATCGCCCTTACCAACACTTATTTTTTTTCTGTTGCAACAACTCCATATTTTTTTAAGCTGTTGGGGCGGCATATGGAACTGCTAAAGCTGGAATTGGAATTGCGGGTATGGGAACCTTTAGGCCTGAACTTATTATGAAGGCGGGTACAAAAATTATCTTAAAACAATTGTGATTTCGACCTCTCCTAGGCTTGTCATACAACAGTATCTAAAACTCGTGAAATTTCGAAAATTCTAGTCATTAATCCCAGTTGTAATGGCGGGTATTATAGCAGTATACGGCTTGGTAATTTCAGTACTTATAGCCGCTGCACGTAAGCATTAAAAATTATCTCTAATCTTTTTTAATTAACGATAGCAAACATTGAAATGTATTTGATTTGACAGTTACACCGAATAATGCTTATTCTTTATTTGCGTGAGTATTGTCTTAATTGATTATTAAGAGAAAATCAACGAATATATTTATTTATTATCTATCTCGTTATACTAAACATAAGGGGATTTATCCATTTGGGAGCTGGACTTGCCGTGGGATTGTCTGGTATGGCAGCAGGATACACTATTGGAATTGTCGGTGATGCTGTAAGTCGACATCCATTATGATCGAACAATTTTTTGTCTTTCCTCTATTAACCGTTTTTTGTATTAGTGTGTGAGAGGATATGCACAACAATCACGTCTTTTTGTCACTATGGTTTTGATCCTAATTTTTGCAGAAGTACTGGGTCTGTATGGACTAATCGTTGCTTTGATTTTAAATACAAAGGCAGATAGTTCTTGTTGATCATTTATTAGAACGATTTCCGAGGACAATAGAAAGGAGAGGGCTTTAATTTATTAAATATGATTTCTCGAAAATTCATTCTCATCATACATAAGTGTTGTATTGCCTGGAAATTTTTTCATTTTGTATTATATTTATAGATACGATCGTCAGTTTCGATGTATAATCAATTTGAGAATTGTAAAACAACAGGGATATCACAAACCTTTTAATTATTCTGTAAAATCGTAATATATAAGATCGACAATTTCAATTAAAAAGAGCATGTTCCAAACTAAACGCTCCTTCTACAAACACGTTTAAATATTTCATTTTCCTTCTGTAGTAATTTCATTAGAATCCTGTTCATTCCGATCTTTCAAATCTAGTTTCTCGATTCCCAGTTCTGTTCTCAATTGTCGTTCAACTTGCCGCAGATTTTCCACTTCCTTTTCCAATGAATCAGCCGCAAATTGAACTTGCAAAGTTTTACCAACCAAATCTGACCAACTAAACTCCAACATTTCAAGTTTTTTTCCGGCTTGTAACTTATACATATATATTTTGAAAAAAATATGCTATTTACCCGTTGTAAACAATAAATATTAATAACATAAATTACCTGTTCTGCCTTTCTCTCTTTATTCACTTCTAAAATTTCCTGTTTATATTGTTCTAAGGTGTCTTGCAGCTGTTTCAGTTCTTGTTCAAGTTGAAAATTGTGAAGTCGCCACGCATTTGCTCCATACTTTTGTAGTAATTCCATATTTAATAAACTGTAATATACGTATTAATATAGATCATTAAATATGCTTCTTGATACGTAAATTTGACAGGGGAAAAATATACCGCAAATTTTGCTGTTCCAATTGAGCTTTTGAATTATCCACTGCTTTTTTCCATAATTCAACATTACTATTATCTTGGGGTGGCTCAAGTTTATACCTGGTAGTATCTATTTGTTCCATAGGTTTCCCTAGTTGGACACGCTGTAACTCTGCAGCGAGAATAGGCGAATCCTAAATATTTGTAATAATCAAGCTTTAGATTGACAGAATCAAGAGATAATTATTGATTACTTTACACGCTTACTTTAAAAAGCTCAATTGTCGTTGGAAAATTTGGCGGATCCTTTTTTGTTCTTTTGCGCCTTTCTTGATCTACTAATTTATCTACTTGTTCGCGCATACCTATATAAAAAATTTCGATTAATGATTATTGAAAAATTTGCGAGCAAATTCACCTGAGGCTTACCGACCCTCATAGTTAATTTCATTGTCAATATCTAAAAAAAGAGAAAGAATTGAAATTCCAATTAAAAAGATTCTTTGAAAAGATAGACACATTATAGCGTACATGGCAAAGAATCTACGACCACATTTGGTGTAAGATCACTAGCTTCCATTGCAGATAAAGAAAATAATTTATAGCAAAAAAAAATTTTGGTTGAGGCCAAAATATGTATCAACAACAGATCTTTTAAGGGTAGAGTCTATGTTGATCGTTTTTGTTATAAAATGGTATACTAAATTTTTTTGTATTACCTATATTTATCTTGAATATCCAATAAAAATAGAATTCACATGATTAACTGCCGATACTTTTCATCAAGTCGACATTTCATCCAATATCACATTTCATCTAATATCACACAAGTACATAACAGAAAATTTACAACAAACTAATATATAAAAAAAAGAAGAAACATTATATCATAATTTAAAATGAAAACAAGAAAAAATTGATGCATTTTTACATTGTTACCTTTTTGGTGTGAGTTCTGAAATGAGGGTGAGTGTTTAACCTAATATTACAAAAGCACATAATAAAAGTGATCACATGCTTAAAATGATGTTTGAGAAAGTCTTTAAAAGGTTTATTAACAAGAATATAAATACTATTATTTATCTAAAGATAGGTAATGATAGTATTCTTGTTATGACTAGCTAGAATATAGTCCAATTTCAAATATAATTTTAAGACAGATGTAATGTTCAGTTTATTAACAAGACAAAATAATAGATCTTAATCAAGATCTATTCTACAAGAGAGATT